CGTAAACGTTGGAAACATTTCAACAGAGAGAAGCTTATTGGACCAACAAAACAGGTATGCAAAAAAGTGAGACAACCCAATTATCGCTTATACCACTAAAAAAATAAAATAGTTACAGCACGGAAATGCAGCATTTGAAAGCGATTCATAAGTAACAAAAAAGCTTACCTCAAATGATGTGGAACCGTTTTCAGTGGAGACCAATGACGGTAGATGATAATGTTGTTTCCTTAGCTGAGAGAATCGAACTCTTTCCTTTTCCAACGCGGATTCTAACTCGAGCACACGAACTTGACTCTCCATTTCCTGCATCTTCGTTTCATGTAACGAGAGATGACTGAAGTCGAGCACTTCTGAAATCACACGATAAAAATCACATCTGCAAGTTTGAGGTAACATTCGATTTGATTACCCAAGTTTGAGGCAATATTTCGCTCGATTACCCAAGTTTGAGGCAATGTTTCGTTCGATTACCCAAGTTTGAGGCAATATTTCGTTCGATTACCCAAGTTTGAGGCAATATTTCGTTCGATTACTCAATTTTGAGGCAATATTTCGTTCGATTACCCAAGTTTGAGGCAATATCTGGTTCGATTACCCAAGTTTGAGGCAACATTTGGTTTGATTACCCAAGTTTGAGGTTTCAGATGTGCAGTGAGCGAAACAGGGAAAACTGAATCGTGGAACAGGAGAGTGGAACCGTCTTGTTTTCAGTGTAAGCAACTATTGCATCATTTCATTTGCGAATTCAATTATTGAAACTACGGAAACAGTGCAATTACGAACAACAAAATGAGATTCTTGAATGCTCAAAAGAAATGCCAAAAACAAGCCAAAACTGTTTTGCTGTTATCCACTAACCAACAACACCAACAAAAATAACCCTCGACTACAAGTGATTAAAGAATCGAAAAAGGATGCAACCGAGAGAGCAAATAGTGACCCTTATTGGTGAGTGTTTGCTGAGCATTTTTAACGGTAGCGACGACGTTCGCTGTGCACGTATTAACCGAATGCGATGCACGCGACAATTCGGCCAACTTCTCAGATCCTCGTTCTGCTTTCACTCTCGACGATACGAACAACTGCGCCGTGCTTGCACCGATCTCTTGTGATGCCACTATCAAACTCTCCAATTTACCTTTACGCGTTATCACGCCATCTGCGCATTGCCTGAACAATAATATATCTTTACAAGAATATCATTTACTAGCAATAACAGCAATTCGAACTTGTTGATGATTGCTCACACGTATCTGTCGACGATTCACTACAAAAAAGCAAACCTATCATACACATGAATCTGTGATGCGCATAGCAATCAGCCAATAACATCTGAAGGTAGTGATATCAGCAACCTTTGACGGGTGAGTAGAAATCAGGCAAATAAAGTCAACTACAGAAGGCTAAGAGGAAGTTTGGTCCATACAATTGCGAATCTACGAGTAATTGTTTTATGATTCCTGATATAGTGAAAGCATCGCAGATTCACGATTATTTAATAGCTGAATGAGTGCAAAAAATAGAGAGAATGAAACAGGTACGTACACGAGCACAGTTGCTGCCACACCGACAGCCTTCGCAGCCGAGATGAGTCCTTCGGTCCATTCGTGATTACGTTTGTAGAATTCTTTCGGTGATGCACTGCCTCTTCCGTTCGCGACGATCTCCTCTTGCATCGCATGACTCTTCTTCACCAACTCAATTATGGCTGCCATCAACGCATTACACGACTCCAATATCTTTTCGTTCACTTCCAATCTGCAATCATTATAGCACAACATTTAAATTGCTTCCATAATTTAATCCTTCGTTCATTTATTTC